TAGATAGATAGATAGATAGATAGATAGATAGATAGATAGATTGATAGATAGATAGATAGATAGATAGATGATAGATAGATGATAGATAGATAGATGATAGATAGATGATTAGATAGATAGATAGTTCTGTTACTATTTCATAAGGTGAAGCATATTACCGATGGCTTCTTCAAAAGCAAATAAGACATTTTTTCCTTGGTCTATCAGCTCCTTGGCTCGATTTCCCATCCATTTAAATCCTGTTAACGTTTCCTGTGTTGACCAAGGTTCAATGAAAAGATACATGAGAACAAGAAGAGGAATTTCTTTTAAATGCATCTATTATTACTACCTGGAGTAATATTGCTGTACGTGGCGATGTCACTCGGCCTCATATTTCTGATGTACCGTACACCAGTGATGGCTAACCTCTGTCATCGCGTGTCAAAAGCGTGCGTGCGCACTCATAATGCAATGTGCATGCAACCCCCCCCGCGCACGCTTGTGAAGGCGACCCCCGATGTGTGTCCCCACCCCCACATGACCCCCCCGTAAGCATGTACATCTCTCACATGAACCCTGCACATGCGTGGCAGATCCGAAAACCAGCTGGCTGGCGGGAGGCACACATATGCGCCGTGAAGCTGAGCTGGGGTGACGGCTTATGTGACCTAGCTTCGCCATCATGGGCCTATAAGTTTATTAGCTTCTAAGTGATATCGGAAATATGAGGCCCAGCGACATCACCAGGTACAGCAACATTGCTACAGGCAGTCCTCGACTTATACGTTTATTTAGTGACTGTCCGAAGTTACAATGGCACTGAAAAGAGACCTATGACCACTTTTCACGCTTAGCGACCGTTGTAGCATCCCCACTGGCAACTGACTCAGATTTACGATGGTTGCAGTGTCCCAGGCTCAAAACTCAAAGGGGGGCAAAACTCACTCGACCAAAGTTTTGCTTAGCAACAGGAATTTTTTTGGGGGGCGGTGTCAATTGTGGTCGTAAGCCGAGGATTGCCTGCAAAGGGAAACCAAAAAGAACTTGACCCTTATGTTGTGGCCTGCTAGCGGATCTGGCAGCAGA